TATAGAGGACATGCGATATTATAGAAGACATGCGACAGTATACAGGACCTACGTCAGTATAGAGGACATGCGATATTACTAGAAGACATCTGACAGTATACAGGACCTACGGCAATATAGAGGACATGCGATATTATAGAAGACATGCGACACTATACAGGACCTACGGCAGTATAGAGGACATGCGATATTATAGAAGGCATGCCTTCTATAATATCGCATGTCCTCTATACTGCGTAGGTCCTGTATACTGTCGCATGAGGTCCTCTATACTGTCGTAGGTTCTCTATACTGTCGCAGGTCCTCTATACTGCCGTAGGTCCTCTATACTGCCGTAGGTCCTCTATACTGCCGTAGGTCCTCTATACTGCCGTAGGTCCTCTATACTGTCGCAGGTCCTCTATACTGTCGTAGGTTCTCTATACTGTCCCAAGTCCTCTATACTGTCGCAGGTGCTCCTACACGTTTCTTCCCTCTATAATGTAGCAGGTGATGTTACGCTAAACTGCAAGCCTTGAGCGGGTAATTCATAACGCGCAGAATCACGATGTTTCTCGCAAGAGCATAGTGTTTCTTAATGCACTAACTTATCGATATATATATATATATATATATATATATTAGTGATTAACCATCATATCTGTGAAAAATGGAGGCTGCTAAGAATGTGGTGATGGGTATCAAGAAGATTAGTTTTCGCGTTAGTGTATATGATTCATGAGTTGATGGAATTACAATGAATGATATTAACGCATAATACTGCTATTGGGGTTGTTGTCGTTTAATTTCTTTAATATTAGGCATATATGTGGCATGTATCATCATGTGGGCTCGTTATGAGATTTATGATGTGGGCGGTAGATGATCGCAGTAGCACTACTAATAACTTGAGAGTCGCATCATTGAGCTGTTAATTAACATTCAGCTGTCGGTAATTAATATGACATGGCGCAGACCGACCGCAGCCATGTTCGCACTGCGACCGCAATTATTGCAGCTGTTATAATATCGCATGTCCTCTATACTGTCGTAGGTCCTGTATACTGTCCAGGTCCTCTATACTGTCGTAGGTTTTCTATACTGTCGCAGGTCCTCTATACTACCGTAGGTCCTCTATACTGCCGTAGGTCCTCTATACTGTCGTAGGTCCTCTATACTACCGTAGGTCCTCTATACTGTCGTAGGTCCTCTATACTGTCGTAAGTCCTCTATACTGCCGTAAGTCCTCTATACTGTCGCAGGTCCTCTATACTGTCGTAGGTCCTCTATACTGTCGTAGGTCCTCTATACTACCGTAGGTCCTCTATATTGCCGTAGGTTCTCTATACTGTCGCAGGTCCTCTATTCTGCCGTAGGACCTCTATAATATAGTAGGTCATCTATACTGCCGTAGGTCCTCTATACTGTCGTAGATCCTCTATACTGTCGTAGGTCCTCTATACTGTCGTAAGTCCTCTATACTGCCGTAAGTCCTCTATACTGTCGTAGGTCCTCTATACTGTCGTCCGGCAGTATAGAGGACTTACGGCAGTATAGAGGACCTACTATATTATAGAGGNATCGCATGTCCTCTATACTGACGTAGGTCCTGTATACTGTCGCATGTCTTCTATAATATCGCATGTCCTCTATACTGCCGTAGGTCCTGTATAGTGTCGCATGTCTTCTATAATATCGCATGTCCTCTATATTGCCGTAGGTCCTGTATACTGTCGCATGTCTTCTATAATATCGCATGTCCTCTATACTGACGTAGGTCCTGTATACTGTCGCATGTCTTCTATAATATCGCATGTCCTCTATACTGTCGTAGGTCCTGTATACTGTTCGCCATGCTCTTCTATAATATCGGCATGTCTCTCTATACTGTCGTAGGTCCTGTATACCTGTCGCATGTCTTCTATAATATCATTGGTACTCTATACTGACGTAGGTCCTGTATACTGTCGCATGTCTTCTATAATATCGTAGGTACCGCTATTGGGTTGTTGTCGTTTTAATTTCTTTAATATTAGGCATATCAACATGTGGGCTCGTTATGAGATTTATTATATGGGCGGTAATTCATCACAATAGCACTACTAATAAGAGTGACGTCATAGCGTAGGTTCTCTCTCTCTCTCTCTCTCTCCCTATATATATATATATATATTATATATATATATATATATATATAATATTCATATATGTATCAAGAGCTAATACATATTTATTAGCTCTTGATATGTATATATATGCTCACACTTCGTTGGTGGCTCGGTACGTTCGTCTATCTGCTCGCCCAAAGTGTAGAAAACAGAGCAAAACACAGGTGCAGAACAGGACGAACCAGGTGAGTATATTACTATCGTTTCTATATATAATATAGTTATAAACAGTTGTTAATTAGGTTACTTGATGTGGTATCACAGGTACCACTGAAATAATCGTTTTGATAGGGATATTTGTTAATTTGGATCAACGTTAATAATCACGTATTGTATCGGTGTGATATTCTAGACACGTGTTGTGGTATTGCGTTCGTCAATGAATCGATGACGTCATCGCTGTGGCAAAGTTGATCATCGTTCTGTTTATCGTCTATTTGGTAAGTTAAAAAAAGCTGCGTTGCTGAGTTCGAACATGAGTTATCGGTTAGTTGCCTTCTCATAAATATCTTCGTATCACATCACTTGTTATACGTGTATGATCGTGCGTTCGTGTGCGTGTGTGCCACCGTACAAGCGTGCGTATGTGTGTGTGGGGCGTGTGTGTGTTTTATTTGTGGGTGCTCGTGTGTGCGTGCGCGCGAGGGTTGGCGTGAGCGTGCTCGTGCGCGCGCGCGCGTGCGTGTGTGTGTGTGTGTGTGTGTCCGCGTACGTCCATCGTGAATCCGTATTTTTGTGACGGATTGGTTCGTTACAGGTCGAAGAAATCCTTGCTTATCCATCACCCTCTGCTGAAGAAGCAAAACATGCCCTCGATGACATCGAACCCCACGAGCAACCAGTTGATGAGCATAGCAAGCAAGACTCAAGTAAAACTTTCCAAGTCCTAAGCATAGATAAGGATAAGGATGAAAATAAAAATAAAGATAATGAAATAAGCGAAAATGACAATGTAAAAGACGAAGAAGAAGAAGAAGAAGACAAAGCCAATGAAGATGGCAATGGAGAGGAGATACACGACGTAGAGAAAGAAGAAGAAAAAGAAGAAGGGACCGTGCTGGTGGGAGACATTTGGAAGGAGAGGAGATACAGGATGTAAAGACAAGAAGAAGAAAAAGGGACCGTGCTGATGGGAGCTTCTACTTTTCTCTACATCCTGTATCTCCTCTCCTTCCAAATGTCTCCCACCAGCACGGTCCCTTCTTCTTCTTCTTCTTTTCTCTGCATACTGTATGTCCTCTCCTTCCGGTTTTCAGGATTGAACCAATTTATTTTTTGTTCTGTGCGCTACACAGATGTTGAAGTAACTATAAAACAGTTTCCAGACATTGAATAGTGCTATTGTAACGTGCACGTGTGCGCGTGCGCGCTTGCGTGTATAGTATATAAGAGGAGTACCTTTCGATATTGTGCATTAAATGGAAAGGTCATACTTGGCAGTAGTTTGACACGAAAAATCTCTGTCCCAATATCTCAATTTGATAAGAAGCACGGCCTCCGGAATTAATCTATACCAGAGGCTCAGACGGTTGTTCGCACATGCCCGGCATCTGCCAAAACCAATACCAGGGCCGTAGACTGAGAAAATTTCTAGGGGGGGGGGCAAAATTTAATGATTCAACTGTGTAATGATGATCGACGGGCGCAGCTTTTCATCGACGTCCATAGTGATTCACCCCCAAGGGTGGGTCTGAGACAAGGCTCTCACGGATAAGTGACCAAAAAAATCACGTTAGGGTTATTTACGATTATTAGCTAAGCTTTTTTTAAAATTTTGCTCCAAAATCTAGGGGGGGGGCAGCTGCCCCCCCTTAGCTGCCCCCCTTGCACCCACGGGCTACGTCCTGAATACTACCCTGTTATTTCATTTTATGAAGATAGAGGTTGTACTCAGCTGTAGTATGGTACGGGAAAAATAAGAGCCTATAAGAGAAAGGGTATACAAGCGCGCATTTTCAGCAATGTGTAACGGTTAGGAAACACTAGGTCATGTACATTACGCGGGCATATAACTCCAACATTATAGGTAATCTACGTTATAGCTAGTATACTTGATTCTAGTATATATATTGATAGTAGTATATATTCTAGTATAGCTAGTTTAGATTGACTTACAATTTACACAGAAGCAAGAATTCGTATTTCTGTATCAGATGCGATAGTGTAATATCAGGAAGACAGATACACCAGATAAACGTGTTATACAAATTGCTAACATTCTGTCTTACAGTGATATGCGAATGTGAAAACGAGGTGACCGTTATATTTGCATTCTGAGCTTCAAATAAATACACTTTTAATTAACAACGAACGAACTCGCTTGCGCGCTGAGGGTTGCTGGTGTCATCTCCACGGGAATTCAAGCTGCACGTTCCATTCCTATCGTGTACAAGCATTGTTCACGACGTACAACAACGACATGCCTCACACATCTACACAAACGACTCCACACTCACGACACGACCACAGAGCAATAATAACACGACACAAAATCGCTGGTACGCGGTTCCACTGCAGGCAATTATCGACGGGAGTAATCTTTTGTTACCTACTTACACTTTCGCTATACCAGCGAACGGTGACGGGCAAACGTGTGAGTGTCGCCGCGCAGAAATGTTGTACGTACTCGGGTTTCGCAAAGCTACCCATCGCCCAGCGGGAGAATTAGCCCAACAGAACTGTCGCAATAGTATTGTCAACGCCCATACAGATCACGGCGCTGCTCTCACCAAGATTTCCTGGTCCCTTTAGAACCGGCATTCACAAAGTGTACCGAATGAAGTCGTTCTCTTGTTACATGGATATTTGAAATCAGCGACGACCAGACATGATCGGGGTGTTAAAAACATAACATGCCAAGGCAATGTGCACTATAAATACTTGTAAATGGGTCTAGCACACACACGTCGACCATCACTTCCTACTAGAAATCACAAGAACAGTGAAGCTAAGAAATGGAGCGACCCATGCCCGTCTCATTGCACGCGGCCATCTTTTATTTCTCTCTTGCGACTGTGTGGTTAGCTTGTATACGGGATTCAGTGGATTAATTCGAAATATTTACTCTGTCAGTTAGTGACAATTATTTTCAAATGTGTAACACACTGCTACCAGCAATAACGCCACTGATAAGGTGAAACATCTCAGACGAAACGACGAAGCCCACTTCAATGCCACAAGCTTCTGAGGTTGCCACCAGCAGCCATCATTTACACGTTTTTACAGGTTACCTGCCAGCTCACGGTTACCAACTGCCAACACACATCCAGCCCATGTGGCACCTGTCAGTACGTGCTCAGCTCACACTGATGAGAGTACATACATAGCACCTGCCAACATGCACGGAGTACATGCTAGATGCTACCACACCTGTTAGGATGTATTTAGTATATGCTAGCCCCCAACACACCTGCCAACACGTACTCAGCACTTACCTGCATGTACACATTATGCTAAACACTCAACCTGTCTTCACAAATTAAAAAACCCTGGGCAGTGAAATGACGAGGGCGTGAAACACGACTTGAAATTGACAACATGAGCAGTGGATTGTCGCAACACACAAACAACCTGTCGAGTTTTGCCCATCACCCAACAAATGGCACAATGCAGTATACGATGCACATGCGTTCTACTGGTAGCCTTGTTGGTATGCGCCGGCAGGTCGCACATATTGTTGACCAGGGCCTTTAGAATATGGATTTGCAGTGCCACCTGGTGGTGCAGCAGCAGGTTGCTGTGGGTATTCACCATACTGTCCTCCATACTGCTGGGGGTAATGTTGTGGTGCACCTGAGACAAAATAACAGAAAATAATACAATATATCTAGAAAATCTAATAAGACATAGCATCATCACTGTATGAATGTGCAGTGTACACACATAGCTGACGCATACAGCTCGCAAGCCTACTAATCGAATGAGGTTCCAGGTACTTGTTTTTAGTTAGCAAACAGACAAAGCCCCATGGCTCTACTGTGTGGCAGCCACAACAATTGCCATTTGCTACTAACGCTACAGTTATCCCAAGACAGAAACATAGCTGCTGAATAAAAACATCACTGCTCTGATTCCAATAGTTTACTCATACATAAACTCCAACACAGCCAGAAAAGCCATCTTCCAACATACGAAATGACGAAAAATAAGCAGTTCTCAATCCCTGGGTCGTGATGTCTCTGACGCCCCTGGATCAACGTACCCCCACCGAGTATACTGAGTTAACGAGCCGCGGGAATGCGACAGTAGGAATAGCCGCAGTGGGTCACGCGCCCCCGCACGTACCCGAGGGAGGTCCTGCCGGTGCCTGCGACGCCGGCGTCTGTTGGCCGGCGTACGGCACAGGCGAATACCCTTGCTGCTGTGGAGCCACACCCGACGGCGGCAGCTGACCCTGTGGCTGACCTTGGGGTTGACCTTGGGGCGGGTACGGCGAGCGGGGCTGACCTCCGGGGCCGGGTCTCGCCCCCGGCGCCACGCCTGCAGGAAAAACACGGCGACGGGTACGGTAAACGCGTGCACAAAGCATCGGCGACCGTGCACTGCAAATCGCGCCCACGACGTTCGCAAATGAAACGTACGCCGGACAAAAGTGAACAGGTTCATCTCAGCATATCTGGCTCTTCTATCCATCCGAATGTTCACCAAGAAACACATGCCCATTCCCACTGAAATTTATTTTACTCTCTGCCGGTTATGTTGCGAGTGACTTTTATTTACTAGGGAATCAGGAGTTTTTGAAATACAATTTAAATTTAACTTCTTCAAATGCAAAATTACACGAAACAAAGCCTTAACAGAGGCACGAAGACAATGCAAGAACAGCTGTCTTGACATCACATCAACAATAGCACGTTGACATGGCTCTAAAACACAACACGGCACTTCACCTTCCACTGTGCTTTGCTATATCACACAGCCACTCACACTAACCTGATGGGTAGGGAGACGACTGTGGCACTCCTGGCTGCGGCGCAACTTGCTGTGGTGGGTAGGCTCCTGGGTAATACCCGGGCTGGGGTGCTGGCCCACGTGCTTGTGCCCCTACACACACATTTTTTTAATCATTTATAAATAAATGTGTAAAGTAAAAAGCACATGAACACCAATTAAGAAATAGATACAATGTAAAATAAAAATATAGGAATATGGTGTGCAATCTTCTATATTGTGTATTATATTTTTACAAGACACTATATTCCTATACATGTATTTTATATATCTTTCATCTCACACTCCCTCTCCCCCACCTCTCTCTCTCTATAGATATATAGAGAGAAAGAGAGAGAGCGAGAGAGCGCGAGAGAGAGAGAGAGAGAGAGAGAGAGAGAGAGAGAGAGAGAGAAAGACAGAGAGAGAGAGAGAGAGAGAGAGAGAGAGAATGTGGATTCCGACATGCATTCAAAGTTGAAGCCAATTTGTGATATCCCATAAATCCGTTGACATCCCTTAGTTGGCTAATAGGCATGCCTTAATTCCTAGCCGTGTTTATTTTTTTTTGACAATCCCTATACAGTCATGCTGTGTTTTCACAGCTTGATGTATACGTCTTTGAATTGATTGAGTTTGCCGGTGTATTAGGGTTGCTTTGACACATGCATTAAGTAATAAATAGTAAGGATATAACTCCAATTAGTACAACCCCCCCCCCCTTGGGCCCTCTCCTATTCGTCCATAAACAACACAACATTTCCTGGAAACCCTGATATATATACATATAACTATTATATCTTTACATACAGATATAGGGGTAGAAATTAATGCCACTGTCAATGTATAAATCCTGTTTTACTGAGAGTTCTACTACTAACCAGAATATGCTTGTTGCTGCTGTGGCTGCTGTGGCTGCTGTTGCTGTTGTTGATACTGATACTGCTGTTGCTGATGCTGCTGTTGTTGGTAGTTAGCACCAGATTCTCGACTTGAGACACTGTCCGGTGTCTCCGGTCTAGATGTGTCTGCACGAATACACACGCGAGCATATCAATGATATAACAACACCACACTTTTGTCTATAAAATCTGTCCAGACAAATCCATATAAAAAAAAATGTTTCACACACATTGGACAGCTTACGGATAACAGTGAGAAACGCAATGTAATAGCGTACTAGTCACCTTCTGGAGACAGGCCAAACGATGACATAACCTTCTGCTGGTCGGCACTAGGTGGTGCCTCACCACGCTGCTTGTTGAGTGGGTCAAACTCCTTACTGCTCTCTGCACTCACTGCATTGGCTGTGCGCTGCTGCTGCTGCTGCTGGTCCTCTGCAAGATCATAGCAATAATCACATACTTCATCACCATGGCAACATTGCAATAGCAACATCAACACAATTCTACACAAGCCTAGAAAAGTTCCGAATACACGAATGAATTTTCTTCAAATGTATTGCATGTTATAAAAGGAGTGGTGCTTTTTGGCCAATGTATAAGTAGCATATTGGAGAAGATAAAAAAGTTTAACATTACGGTTATGCGTTCAGTCAAATTGATGGTCAAATGCAACTACAAATTATAGGAGCGTGGTCAGCTCAAGAATGCCACCAGGTGGTACCTCCCCTCCCCCCACCCAATAGCTAGGTAACAAACTGTCGCATTGTGGTAGTAACCCCAGCTAATCCCCCGCCGTGCACATGCGAGTTACCCGTGCCGTCATGTGACGACCGACCCCGCAGCAGCCCCACGTACGGACCTTGGACAGACTTCTCCTCGTCGGTGAGCGTAATGGCCGGCGGCGACGGTGGCTCGAGGCCGTCCAGTAGCTGGTTGACCCGGTCACGTATCAGCTGCAGCTCGCTGCGTATATGCTTGACCTCGTCCCTCTCTAGTGGTCGCGGCTGACCGTTCACTGCGTCGCCGCGAGAAAAAGAAACGCGACAATATAGCTAGGCGATAGGCCTTTGGAGACCGTGCTTGATTATTGCCACTAATGTTAACAATAACTCCAATACTTGATAATAGGGGATGGCTGACATGACGTGCAATACCGCTGCCATGCAATGACTATCAACGTCAAGCATAGAAACAAACAGCTGCAAATCTTTCATTCCAAATAAGGTCAAATTAACTCCTGCTTAAGTAAGGTCGTTGTTTGGCTTTTGCTATCTGAAGATACTATTAAGTATAATAAAGATCGACTAACGACTAAGGTATTAGGTAGCTATTAGTTTAAGTTTATTCAACTCATTATTTATCTTGTAAATTATATTCGATTTAATATTTTTTTTTACATTTATCATTATTGTGCTTGGCTAGTATAACAGAAATGTTAAACAGCATACAGACTTGTGATTCATTAATAACAATGTGTGATGATTTGCATTGTCTACATAATTTTTAGTACATTTGTTAGCATTGGTTAATCGATGGAAGTCAGGATAGTAGTACTCACTATAAATTGTCAACTTTAGAATCCTGCTGCACTGAATAGCAAACGACAAATCTGAACTATCGAACAACGTAATCAGGTCACCATCTGAAACGTATCAAATAACAAAATCACAAATTCTGCATAACATTTTAAGGCCAGGGATACATGTGTGATGAACCTTTATATTCCCCAAATCTACTAAAATCATAGAATTAGTGAAGATCACATTTTTACCCTGCAACATTTCTTGTGCAGATGCCTAAACTGTGATATTGTCACGCCACCTACTGTTTAGTCGAGTGTCAGTGCTACCACTAATACTGTCCAACAAGATAAGTGACATCTGTATAGCTTATCGATTCACCTTCTAAACTGGGTTGGAAGTACATACAGTCGCCACAATCTGGCAAGCACTAGCAGCTATAGTGAAATCTCTACCTGACCTCGCATCCTGAGGTGAGACGAATATGTTAAATTCGTACTATGCTTTGCGTTACCTTCGTCTTTATGTTTGATTGTGATTTCATCGTTTGTGTTAATCTGGCCGCGAAACACCCGCTGCATCATTAGCACCAGCTCATCATACGTAATGTCTTCATTGTAGACAGGTATCCGTCGGATGTCATCTCCGAGTTGGGCCTGAAACACAGGTGACCTTCCTAATGAAAACTAAGCATGCAGCATTGAACCTAGCATGAGCACAAGGTCACGGGGCAATTTCAGGTGCTGCATGAAGAATATTCGAGACCACTTTATATTGAAGTAGATGCCAACACATCATATGGTGATGGTAGAGGGTGCAATGACATGGCAATGCTAATTTTGTTGTATGTCAACTTGGCATGGTACTGATTGCTCATTAAGCAATAACCCTGCTTTCTTCTTGTTCATATTGTGCATTAGTTTAAACTTACTTTGATAATAAGTTTGCCAGTGAGGTCCAGTTGAGGATAGTTCCCTTGTTTAGATTCCATGGCTCTATGTGCTGAATAATATCATATAAATCATAATGACTTCATATTATATAACAAATAAATTAAGTTATTCATTTATTGGCACGTTGGCATATTTTGCTAGTTGGCATGTTCAAGCTGCATATTCGAGGTTTTTTTAAATGGTAATTGTTCCTGTTTATCCGATTATTAGGGCTTGTTCCTTATCATTTCTACATAAGAAAAAGACAAGAAACAAGTCTAAATTTATGTATTTTACTATGCTCTAATGATATAACGTTGCTAAAGAGATAAACCTAGGTATAACATCTTATAGCTATATAACTTCGTATAATTTCAGACTTATCACTGCGCACACGGATTGGAACAAATTGCGCTCACGGATGAGGAGACATGATTGATTTCATAAGATAACTGTAGTGGAGTTAACTATAACTACTGCCACGAGCAAAGAGTAATATCGTGAATCATAGGCTTCGGTGACTCAATCCTCCTACTGCTGCCCACCGGGCCTGATAGTGATACATCATAAACAATCATCATCACGTAAATGTAGGGGTGATCCGGCTTGATACATTATAAGCTTGAAGATGTAGTAGTAGTAGCAGTAGTAGTAGCACCACCAGCCGCAGCAGTAGGAGCAGTAGTAGTACTAGTACTAGTAGTAGTGGGTAGTGGGCGGGTGAACCCCTTGAGCTAGGGGCCACAGGCACTTGGAGCGTTTTAATAAAATATAATGCTAAATAAATACGAAATCTATTTACTACCAAATGTTTCTATACTCTCTTTCACCTATTATTGCCGACAATTTCCTGCAAATGCCGTCCAAATGCTCATCTGCAACAAACACTGGCTGCCGCTGCACACTGAAACATAAATA